TTTTGTCGAATTCTTTCAGATTCTATATAAATGGGCTTACACTGTAGAATTGATTCTGCAAGCTGAAACTTGCATGGAACTTTACATTTTTGGGGATTATTTTGAAGAATTGCTTCAGAATACGTAGAACGGATTCTACGCACTACCTTGCGTGCCACCGCCGATGGTTCCTCACTGCTTCTCAAGGCCCGTATAAGTGCCAACGAAGGAATTTCTGAGATTTGGCAGATGTTTACGATTCATTATTGAACAGTGAACGTTACTGCATTTTTGGCTTCCTGGAATTGTGGCGTGTTCATTCTAGGCGACTCGAAATCGCTGTCTCCGTAATTTTGGCGCACCCTGTACTTTTGGTACCACAACAGGAGGTGCCCTCAACAGAGAATCTCTTGCTGGTTTCGTAGGCAATTTTCTGACCAGCAATCTTATTAGCTCAGATGGAATTCTCCCAGCTCTTGGGTACGTATGGACCCGCCTGCAAATCTTGGTAAACTTCCTAAACGGAAAATCCGCGTCCAAGCGAAAACCGACTGAAATGACTTTGAAATAAAGCGCGTGCGAACATATTCACATAGATTTATTTTTACATATCTACTACAGCAATTTGTGAAACTATTCTACTAAGATGGTGCACAGAATCTCCCAACTTCGCAAGAGACTTCAATCTAAGGAATTCACTACTATCTGTTGATACGTTTGAGAGTTCATTGGCAACATTTCCTTGCACACTATTAAACCACAGCTCAAATTCGAATCCAATGTGAAGAAACAACATGGGATTCTTCTCCTAACATTAAAATTGAAAAAAAAACCGTAGAACCAATAGGCATTGGGATAATTAGGATGAGTAATAAAATTTGAACATAGCAGAGAAACAGCAATCACATCATTACAAGAATGTACAGCCACTCATTTAAATACAAATACAATTCAAGGTGTGTATAAAACAGTCACAAGTTCAAACATATCCTTTTGGGTGGTCCTTTTTCGACGCCTGTGCCGCCTGCTTGATAAGTCGACGCAAGGCCGGCTCATGTTTCTAAAAAGGAAACCGTAGGTTCGCAATGTGTTGATTGTAAGTACGCTTTCTGATGAAAAGCAACCATAGCCTCTGTGGACTCTGTTCAGTAGCGGACCTTCGAAATGTACAGAACGTTACCGTGAGAGCAGCGTGCAATTTATGGGCTTCAATACGCTCTTGCTGGTCAGCACTTGTAGCCGCAGCAGTGCGAGTTCGCTCAAGCAACGCCATAATTCGAGGATGTAACCGGATCAGCTTAAAATATCAAGATAAGAAATCTGATATTCTTAACTAATACAAGTGATGCTGTTTTGATCACACACTTCAACGTCATACTCACCTCCACCGGTGACGCAAACTCGAGGAGAGTTGTGATAGTTCCATAGATCATCGAATAACTCGACGACGGGTCGTCAAATATTCGTTTCACAGCACGAAACGATCGTCGTCTAGTCTCTTTGGTCCCATGATCTCTGAAAAGCTGCATCGATTAACATAAAGTTATACGCCTCTATATCCAGGTGTATTGACGGACATACCAGTAAGAGATATTGTGGATGTTTCCCTTGAATTCCAAAAACTTACCACCCAAATAAACAGGTTTTACATTTTAAATTGATGAATTGCATGACGTACTTTATTATGGTGATCAGAGTCTTGCCGGCAAAATCCCTTAATGCCCAGTGATTGTCAGAATCAGGCCGTGTGCACAAGATTCTGCCCAACATGCAGCTCATCAGAGACGGTAAAAATTCATGAAGCTGTAAAATAATTCCATAAACTATTCAAAATCAAACACCAGGACCATGTGATTATATGAATGAGATATTGAAAATATTGAAATGCACGTATCGGGTCTTAGCAGAAAATGTAAGTCACTCATAACCGTGTACAGTGAGAAATCTGTTGCAGACTATGCATTACATGCAGTCCCTCCCACCAACCCTTTCATGATAGCTTTTTAGCTCCCCTCCTAAGAGCAGACCCCACAACTGAAGTGGTGCTGTTCTTGCAAAAAATGAAAGCAGGGCCGCGTACCTTCAGTGAAGAAAAGAAGAAAATGTCGAAAGCGCAAACATCAAAGATTGAGCATTTTTCGAATGAGGTGAGAGATATTGAGCGCATAGAAGAGGATGGCGAAGGCACACCCGATATTTCCAAAAAAATGTGGAAGTGGTTTAAGCGCAGAAAGGCTCTTTTGACCCGGCAGAAGGGAACACCTGCGACTTCAGTGGTAGCTCTATCATACCTTAAAAAGGGTTGAAACAGTTGACGCATACTGGCTTGTGCCTTTAAATTCAACGTATTCACAGAAGGGAGCCGCTTATTTAGGGTGGGAAAGGGTGGTGGAAAAGTTGGAATTTGTACGCTCTCTAGGCAGTAATTAAAGGTGGCTCAGCGGAGTATTTACGATGCGGAGAGGGCAACCGAGGGGGCACGGCCCGAATATACGCACAGCGCGAGATAACCGTACTTGCACATATCAGTCGATTACCATGTTAGGAATTGCAGCTTAATATTCACTCCGGATAAAGGTGGTCGGAGGTTACTGTCCAGGGTTCTCAGTCGACGAAAACGAACCTCCTTCTGTGACTAAAGCACCCATGCCTTACGGATACTCGACTACGTCATCAAACTGAAGCAAATAAAATGAAATGGAAATGGAAGTGTATATATTCAAATAGGGAAACAACATGAAAATAACACATAGCAAAGAAACAGCGATTGTTCCGAAAAAAACACATGTTAAATTATCAGTCTCGTCTTATAATTTTGCGAACACTTTGGTCTTGTACGACTTAATTACTTATTATTTTCTCTGTGAGTTATATATCAGCACAGTATTATCATCACATTATACACTAAATATACACAATGCGAAGTGGTATCAGGCCACTGTAGAATTTCATAGAGTTCTGATCGAAGAAATATTGGATGTCGATTTTGACTTCATGGTGATTCAAGTGAGATTTCTTCTCCAGAAGGTGAGAGAGAGGAGAGCGGATAGTCGTTCGTTGACGCAGGATTAGTGCTATAATAGCAAATCTAAACAAAAGAACTGACCGCCCGAGAGTCTCCAATTTTTTAGGAATTTTCTTAGCAAGCGGGCTCGAACGACCTCAGAAAAAAATAGATTTTGTCTTCCTTTGCTTTCAAGTTGAAGGCGTTGCCATCAAGCTGTCAACGATTCTTCCCATCACTGACACTGGTATTAGTTGATGCCGGTCTTCAGCGCAAAGGCCCTCCCGTATTGCGCCAACGACTCAGGAAGTTCGAATTCAGAGGGAGTTGGGTTTGTACTGTCAGAACTCCCGAATCATTGAGCAAATCTATTCGGACGTGATTGTAGTCACATTGCATGCCAGTCACACATCACCACTGATAATTTAGATTCTCCGAAGACATAGAACCTACAGAAACTTGATGATGTCAGATTGGGTTGAGAACTGATTCGGGACTACAATTCCTTCGATCAGAACTCTATGAAAGTCCACAAGAGAGGCACTGAATACCCAACACTCGCATTGGCGATATGTTGTTAATAATAATGATGTATACTAATGCGGATAAAATAGATCAAGAATACATAATTTTAATACATAGAAAACACTTCATATTATGTTTCACTAGTCTCTAAAAATTGTGGACTCGACTAGTAAAAGATAAATGAAACAAATACACTTCACGCTTCCTAACATCAAGTTTCACAGACTTATTTTAAAGCAATTGATCTTCATCATTCGCTACATAACATAACTCAGCCATTAGACAACGTGGACACTGTTGCAATACCGAACTGGCCAGTAATCACAATTCACACGTTGAATTGAATTGAAAAAACTGTAGGACTCTAAACAAATCTTAATACTCTGAAATAAAAGAATAAAAACGAAAAACCGTTTGGCTCAGCAGTAGGTGGAAGGGGAGCAACGTGATGCAGAGCAGTCAAGGCGATGAAACCACGACATACATTACACCTTCGTACGTGAGCAGTCCCCTTACACAAGCAAAATGGTTCATAAGATCCAGCTTCTCCCGGCAAAAACTGAACTAGGCTGGTGTCAGAGTCCGCGATCCGTCGCGTGACGGGTCGCAGAAGTCGAAGTGCCCCATGAATACTGCGAAGTACTCTCCAATCCCGCCGCCTGATGCTTGATAGTGATGAATGAAAGACAGCTGTTGATTCTAAATACTTGCTTCATATTCATTGTTTCAAATAATTGAATGGGGCACTTGCGATTCGCGGGAATCGCCCGAATCACGCGGTGGATTGCGGACTCTGATACCAGCCTTACCGCTGCTGGATGAGCCACTGGGAGATGAGCCCTCTCCCACTACACTTGCTTCCATTGTTTTCTATATTTCTATCTAATCGCCTTAGAGCTGAGATGTCTTTCATTTCACAAACTTACGGAGGTATGTATCAAGCGCGATAAGCGTGGTAGAAGCTCTTGGATGCCAGTGTCCCGTTCTAACGATTGCAGGGCTTGCTGTCGTTTCCGATCATCTTGGCCGACACAAGCTTCAACGATCTCTTTCAAATAAATTTGCTGCTCCTGAAGTGGTATAGAACTTTGAAACAACAGCAAAGAAAATGGTAAAATGAGAAAACACCCTTGAGAGAAACGAAATACGTACCACCGACAACGGTTCCAGAAATGATGGTTTCACCAGTATTTGTTCCTTTTTGGGTATTCCTTGAGCAGCCATGCGGAACGAAACTGATGGCGCGGCGAGTTCAGCTGGGAGAGTGACTCTAAAACTAAGAAAACAGCCTGAGAGAAATCGTTCGCAAGAGCTGCACACACAGTAGCGAAGAGAATCCACGCCAAAACTGTAATGCCTTCCACAGCATGCGCGCGAGTACGACTGGGAGCAGCATTACAGATATTACTTCTTCTATTCAGAGATTATTGCCACCACGAAAATTCTTTTCACTGCCCCTCTATGAAATCAAAGCAGCACTTCAAGATAATTATAACATCGCGAAAGGAAGCCAGCCTCAAAACCAGTAATTGGGAATTGAAATTGGTTCGGATTTGGACCAAAAACGAGCCACGCACGTTACGATGGCTTGTCATCTATGACGTCATCGAAGCAGTATATCCTACAGAGGACATCAACACTAATTGTATGAAATGACTCTTGTAGAACAATGCAAAACACGTTAAACTATCAAGTAGTAGCCGCAACAAATCGAAACCGTGTACTCAATGTTGCTTGACGTTTTTGAAAAACCGTAAAGGAGTTAGTACAAAACCGTTACTTCGTAAATAAGCAACAAAATAAGCTTTCACATTGAGGGGTTTTCGCAACTGAAAACAGGGTGAGATATGAAATCACATTCATCCACTTCCTTAGCGATGGTCATGAGTCATTGAAATTCGCAAGTGACGAAGTGGAATACCTTTTCCTCAAAGCAGCTGGAAGATCCGTAGAAGACATTCCACTTCCTTGACTCGTCTTCTTTGCCTTTTTCTCTTGGGGTGGTTCTTCCTCGTTATCGACCCGTATCCAATGAACTATATGAATATCATCAAGAAGTACGCAACAACATTCTTTTTCGAGAAAAAGACTGGAACAAAGTATAGGAATGTTCATAGAAAGCACATCAAAATTATATCTGGACTTCTTATGACGTTAAGTGTAAGATGAAGGTGAAATGTTTATTTCTCTGATATCTAACAATGCCGCTTACCTCGAATGTGTCTCTTCACTGGAATTTTTGTTTGAGCAGGTTGCGAAATGGATTGCACATCAACGTCCATATCCTCGCGCACGTATAGCTGTTCCCCACCAGGCATACGAAGCTGTCTCATGGAAGGCTGCGGCCGCGTTAAAGCGCCTATGGGCATCTTAAACAATGAACGAGGGTGCTAACATCTCACAGGCACAATTTAGAATGAGTTACCGGAATGTTCATCTCTCGAAGGGCATGTTGTACATCTTCCACCTTCATAGTTCTTCGTCGACCATGTATGGTAAATTTATGGGCCAAGAGCGAGCAACGAGATAACACTTGCGTAAGCTTCAGGAAAGGCAATGTTAACATTCCATTCTACGTCACAATGAAATAAATGTTTTAGAAAGCAAGTATGGGGCATCAGGAAACGTTACTTGGCAGTCTTTCAGCACCATGCCCGCCCACTTTGAGACCGTTTTTCGGTACCTTGAGTGTCTAGCATTTTCTCAATTTTATCTGCTCAATTTCGATTGTGTTTCCTCCCAGAAAGAGCGGTTATTCACAGATAACAGCTGGAATTCGAATTTGTTAAAAGACCCTTCAATCTATTTCCTTTCGGATCAAAGCAAACAGCCTTACGGCCTTTGCTCGTAAATATCCCTAATTGTGAAAGAAAAATGATCTGCAATATTTCAGAAGCTTAGTTTCGGTAAACACTGCACACCATCCGAAGAAAGGAGTACCACTCGCCGTTATATATTCAATGACGAACTCGTTAAAGGACGTGGGCTTCACACAGCATTTTGGAAAACCTATTCAGGAACGAAACGGGAATTATGGCAGCACTGAAGGACAATCCCTTCCTACCCGCTCAGCCAGCCATCGACAGGAATTCAGTATTCCAAAACAGAGCAAAAAATATACACTTTCGTTTCCAGTTCTAATGACCAGAATAAAAAGTCTGATTCCAAAACATTTCATGATGACTAGAAAACAAGGACTCACCAAAAGCAAAAAAAAACCACGTTACAAACAGATTATAATCAAAGATAATGACAGACTGTAAAGATAAACTAAACAAGAAACGAAAAGATAACACACCTTGTCAGCAAGGCACTGTAGAGCGGCCGGCGTAAGGTTAACAACTCCCACAGAATCGCCAACAATCTAACAAACAAGGATTATTCAAAGACCTGTGCGCGATCAGGAGAAAGCAGTATGACAACTTACTCTCACGTATTGGGGTTCTATACCGACGGGGCGGCGGTAGACAACTGAAACGAACGACGCAATGCTGCTCGGCGCTCATGGGCACCATTATAAACTGTGGCATTAAAATTGATTGATAAGCAAGTACAAATAATGACCGATATAGTCATGGGTCAAGAACCCCACCACACACAGCAATAAAGAGGAACGTTGACAGGCTTCCGGTCCAAGTTTTGAAATGCGTTGTGCGACGAAAGCTTCCATATCTGATGTGTAATTGCGGCCGGAACAATGCATAGCACGTGAGCGAACACTCTGAACAGGGCCTTAAAGATTCGTGGGCATTGAGAGAGTGGGCCACTTTCAGAACTTGGGACTAAGTCTCAAGGAGGGAAGAGGATCCTGGAGGAGACGTGAGCAATCTTTGTTCTTCTTAGCTGTTCTGGGCTTAGTTCTAGTGTCACCCACCAGCGGTTTTGAATGCCTGTTTCGGAATGTCACTCCACGGTCGACGGACTACTTGAACTCGGTCCTTTAAGCCGCCTCATCCGATGCTTCTCGTCTGCGCTCTCTCGCCTTATCAGCGGCTGATGACCACTGTGATCTCACACATTCAAACTTTTGCCACACTGTAATTGGCTCACCCACCTGGAGTCCCTCCTCCCCTCCCTCCTACGAAGTTATTAGTTCTAGGGCTCCCATCTCCTTCCTCTGGGATTTGGAGCCGAGCCAGGCGCCGTCCCCTAATTGTGTGTGCCCTCCACCATTCGTGGCAGGACCTATGGTTAGTTGAAAGTTCAAGTAATCCGTGTCATCCCATGGGTGCATGCATAGTCGGTTGTCCGATCATAATGGTCAGTCGGTTGTCGCAAAGCGTTGGATACGTTTCGATTGTCGAACACTTACGATTAGGGAAGCTGACGATCGATATGCATCCAATGGTGCGACCGTTACGATCGACGACTGTCTATGCATGCTCCCTAAGGACATGAGCGCCGTTTTTTACATGGATTTTCAGGCGGTAATGTTCTTGTCGAATGAATAAGCAACCACTCTTTTCTGAATGATAATTAACACATTGTCGAAAGCGGTCGTTTGAAATTTCTTGTTCACGTGGGACAGGTATCATCGTCCACGCATCGCAGACGTGATCCCTCACGACCTTAAGCCTGGCGGGGCGACATTGTACAAACAAGCAGTGATACTACAATAGGCACTTCCCACTTTCATGCACGCGAATTAACCGTTTAGCTAACCGGTCTCTCTGCTCTCACTCTGTTCAATATCGCAAAACTACTGAACTGTCATGTCCACGGCGTCAGGCGGGGTCAGCTATGAGACGTGGCTAGCAAGTCACGATAACGCAACGGCATGGAACCTACTTTAAGCCGCTGCCACCCGAGAACGGGAGTCTCTCCAGCCTTCAGCCAGCTTCGTCCTCCTCGAGAGTCCAGTCTCTAGACTCTCTCCCCGTCCCTCAGTCTCTTACCCCCATATTACAGTGTATTGAATAAAGTGTATTAGGCTATTATGTTTATATACATAGTTATATCTACCGCTACAAAGCCATGAGGTTTAAGGACTAGCTACCCTTCAATCTGATATGGAAGTTCCCGGGAGATTATTTTTTTTAAATTTTTTTCCTCCTTGCAAGTTTAACACCCCCATTACAATACCAACCCCTCGCCTCCTCGTCTTTCGTCTTGACGTCCAGCCGAATTGACAGTAGAGCATAAGGAAAAGAGCGGAGGACTCCCAAGTGGGTAATACCTTTTTTCTTTTACCTCTTTTACAGTTCTCATTTGAAAAAAAAGGGTTTACAAATGTAAACCACATCATTGAATTAAGAGCTGATCACTCTTATGTTATGGTATTCCTGGGTTGATGTGCATGTCGCACTGTTCTCCTCACAATGAATACAATTATTAGAAAAGGTCCTGGCGACGAGCCCCTTTATCACAGTTCCCCCAATATTTTTTCTCTCTCCAAAACTCACACTATTTTCTAGTACTGTAGGCTAGCAATTGATTATGCTCATATACGTAATTACCGGGAACTGGAAAAAGTACATAGTAATTACTTCCACCAACCGGGTGAACCCATATAACTACTATTAATTATTGCGATAAATTAACTATCTTTAATGATCTATTTTGACAATAATATGATGTTTACGAATAAAAAATCCCTCGCCATCAGTCGACTTCTCCAAGATACATGTACACCAGAGGCATAATTAACCTCGCCCACGCTGTCCTTACAACCAAGGGATAGGTGCCTCGCAATATTGCGGATCACAGATCAATTCCGCAGTTTATCAAGTCGGCTCAACTGGAGATCACCGAGCGAGACGCCCTTGCCCCCTACAGTAGGCAAACTTGAGCTCCTCATTATTATATGTTACACAGCCACACAGAGCACTAGTTGACTTTACCCTTTAATCTCTGAAGGCTTTGAATAAATACCCAAATAATTTCGGACCCTAATACTTCTGAAAAGTACTTCGACTAGTGCACAAACTCATATTCATTTATTCAACAACTGGTATGGACATCCGGTAATGCAGATGTACCTTCGTCTACTTCTTCCAGGGAAGGGCGGCCAAATGAACGTGCGCATGTTGAACGTTGGCTTCTTCGAAAAATTCCTTGCAGTCGAAGTTGTCGACACGATCTTTACCATCGCCCTAAAATGTCTTGGCAAAATACACGATATTCAATGCCGCAAGTACGGTAAAAAAATCAAAAACCCACCTCACGCAGTTCCGCAGTCTCCTCTTAAATACGATTTATTATTTGTTGCATCTGGTCCATTCTTAGCTGATGAGTATTAGACAGCTTACTTCCCTGTTCTGCCAAATGATCGGCAAACATGTAGGCATGGGTATAGTTGTGCGTAGTTATGTGGAGTTTTGTGGCCGCTGCATCACATCCGTCACACAGATTGGGCTAAAAAGGAAAATTTTTTGTCTCTCTGCGAAATGATAATTTTCCTCGCTAATTTCACTTACCGCTAGAATGGCCATAATCTTCCTCTGAAACTCAATACCTTAAATCTATGTTCTAAAACAGTAAAACCACTTCAAAATTTTTTTCACAAATAGGAAGGGTGTCAAACCCTGTAACAAATCAACAACATAGTTTTCAATTTCTATTCAACAATAAGCCCCGTACAAGGCTGTAATGACGTGGTCGTCATTTGGGATGCTGGTTCACGCCGTAGTTTATTGCCATCAGGAATCTAGCTCTCTCCATGCGCGAATGGTTGACATTCTATAAATAATAGGCTCGATAAGAAAAAAACAGGGAGTAGAAAACTGTGGGAAATAGCATACGTACATCGACTGCACGTAAAAAGCCCTGGTAGTTGAACCTTGATCAACCGTGCAAACTCTCTCGCTTCCTTAAGCGCCGTCCTCTGCTAGTAAATTACAAGGGCATCTAGATTCACCTTCCAACGTCTTTCGGTAACGCAGACCCTACAGTCTTTCTCAAAATCGCATGCAATAAAAAAACTTTTTAGGTCCAATTGAAAAATCTCACTGCTCCGGGTTGGGCAGCATTGGTTTCCACAGCATCCAATTCTTCGACTTCCAAGTCCGACGAAAAGTCGACCTCGGGGTCGCCCCAAGGATAATGGGAGTAATATTGGGCGAGATCCTTACGTGGCTCCATCTGAAAACATATATGAGCTTTCCACAGTATAACTTGAAGGAAGCAGTTGATGTTTCGAAGCATGGAAAAGTGCGAGGAAATAAAAAAAGGAACAGTACAAAAACTCGTGAGAGCGCGGCGCACCTGAGCCATCATCGAGCAGACTGAGCCACCACAATTACAATGCTCACAACCTTAGGTCCACACCCATAACCCACCACTAAAGTGTATGATGAGCGTTGCGCAACCATAAATTTGGAGACGACACCCAAACTCTCGGCAGCGGCAACCTCAAAGATACGAATGCTAGTCTGTTGGAATTCGAAGAATCCCTAGGCAGCGTCTAGTGTCAAACAAAAACTCTCAAGTCTAAACTACGCCCTTATACTAATTGCTTATATGAACCAGTTTAGC